TGTGTGTGTGTGTGTGTGTGCCTGTGTGTGTGTATGTACATTTAATCTCCTGGCTGCTTTATATAAATGAGATATCTAAAAGGATTAAATTTATATAATGAAGATAATGATCATGATGGTCATTTTTACATTTTCTGTCACTTACGGTTTCTGCCCCTGCAAAAGCACTGTTAAGGGATACAGAAGGAAACACAGACACCTGCCACACAACACAGCTCTCTGTCTAGGGCTCTGACCTCTCTCTCATACTCTAATGAGTGTGGCACTGTTGAAATATTCTCTCTCAGTCTGTCTGTCCATCTCTCTGTTCATCCTCCCTCCCTCTTTTCCTCCCTTCCTCTCCTATAGAGCTATAAAAACTGCAAAAATAAAACAAAGATCAAAGAAATCCTTTGCTTCATTCTAGGTTCTTCTGGAATACATCTCAGTTCTCACTGGGGACCGAGGAAAGGAATCACAAATGGAAAATTCAGCAAAGGTACTGGGAATGTTTTGTAGGAAATTATTTTTTTTCCAGTAAAGAATAGAATGGCAAATGGTCATTAACGTGAAAATCTACCCACTTTGCTGTCCATGCACCATCTTTTCTTAGTAGGTGTTACAAGTGCATTTCATGGAATCTGCACTTGGCCATGATGGTCCAAAATATCCCCAGAGCCTATCACAGTACATCAGGAACAGGAAAACATAGCAGAAAGAGTGGGGATCCAAAGTGCTTTTTCTTCATATTTTAGGATTGATTGTCAAGGGTTCTGTCTGAGGTTCTTTCTGGAGTGGAAGTCCTCCTTCTTACAAATCCCTGTTTCTAGCTGTCTCTGCCCCTACTGCTAGCTGTCTATCACACACAGGTCTGTGCGTGGCCACTGTGCTTCTGAAGAAAGTGGCTCTCTGAATGAGTTCTAGCGAATGACCGAAGCTCCACCCCAAAGCCACTATGCAGTCCACAAGCTTGCACTGGGAGAATAGAAATATTGAGCCTCAGGTGACTGAGAACACTTACTGTTGGCTGCATAATGTATGGCAGATGAGGCGTCCATGAAGTGCTCTGGACCTATGCATCAAACAGCAGTCATTAGGACAAGGCAATCACAGAGGGAACTGGGTTCTTGTGTTCAGCGGTGTTGCACGAGGTCATGGGGAAGTGGAGATGGGAATTCTGGGTCTTGATTAATTTGGCAATTCCTCAGCTAGGTGGCTGGATGCAATGGCCCACACAGGCCAGGCTCTGTGTGAGTGTGCGTGTGCGTGTGTCTGTGTGTACATTTGTAAGTGTGCATGTAGAGCCAACATCAGCTGATGTTCATAAGGCGAAATTTACCTTGTGTTTGGAAACAGGGTCTCTTATTAGCTTGAATTTTACCAAGTAGTCTAAGCTGACTGGTCAGTGAACCCCAAATCTGCTTGATTCTGCCTCGCTCATTGGGATTTCAGGTTTGTAGTGCTGCACCTTCTCTTTCTGTAGGTTTTGGGGACTGCAAGCACTTTGCTGACTAAGCACTTCTTCAGCCCTTGTGGCTCAACCCTGAAGCCTTATTTTGAAGTCAGAGTTGAAGACGAAAGTCCTAAAAGTTCCCAGAGACTATCTGTAGGTCAGCTCCCTGGGGCATCCTGGGAAACACTGAGAGAATCGAAGGTTGCTGGCTCAGACTCCCATTTGTCCTGTTATGAACCGTGGCTTCACATGCTTAGGTGACCCATCTTAGAGTTAGCCACACAGCAGAATTAGTGTCAGAAAGAAATACAACAGGAAGTGTGGAGGAATGTTTTAGGTTGAGGGCAACTTAAACATATGAGTGATATTATTCTCTCTCATGACAACTGTTACTGTGGATAAAAATGCATAGAATAGCCACTAACTCTTCTAAAACAGTGTTACATGTCAGCCAAACGAGAACTGTGGTGAGTGGATTGTTATATAGAAAGCCAGGGCGACTTCATTTTATTATATAATCTCACCCTGAAACCTGCCAATATACTTCGGTTTTTTTTTTTTTTTTTTGTTTGTTTTTTTTTAAGTTGTGCAAAGTAAGAGTTAACAACATTGGGATTGCAATCTTGTTTGGAAGAAGATAATCACTTTTCTGTGGATATTTTATTCATGACACCTAAGTATTCCGTGCTGTGGCTCTCTGTGGGTGGTCTTGGCTGCAGCAGGGGTCAAGATTAAAAAAAGACACCACACACACACACACACACACACACACACACACACACACGGCCTAAAGGAAGAACAAAACTGAAACACACCTGCACACAGCCTCATGGGTCCCAGGAGAAGGCAATTAAGAAGCCAGCACTCTGGAAACACTTCATGCAATTTAAACAACAACAACAACAACAAAAAATCCACCCTGTTGGCATGGGAATCTTGCTTCAAGAGCCTGAGTGTGGAAAAGGAATGGTGTGCTTCTGGGAGACTTGTTGGGTAAGGGAAATGCGTATAAATGTCAACTGTGATGCTCTGACAGATGGGGCATCCTGGGAAATGCATGGAGTGAGCGAGCCAGGGAAACGGCACTGGGTTAGCAGCAGCAGGCAACACTGGCTTCCTGCCCACTCAGAAACACCCCCCCACACATTTTGTCTACTACAAGGAAATCACAGGTACACACACTTGACCTTTCTCAGTCCCTCCCTGTTTGCGTTCTGTCCCTATGTGACACTCACAGGCATTTCATGATGAAGACTGGAAGAAGAGTAACAGTTGATGAAGAGAATGGAGTGACTGGCGTGGCTGTGAGGTAGCTCACCAGAACAGGATGAGGACTGAGTTCTGTGGGAAGCGTGTGGTGACCGCTACCATCCATCCTTTGCTAGGACGCCTGGTTTAGGACACACAGGGACTCTAATGCCCCAGCATTTCAACACTTGGGACCCCAAAGTCTGATCTTTCGAAGAATAAGAAAGGAGGTAAAGAGCAGGAAGAAGAAACATGTTTTACCACTTTGATTGCCTTCCCCATGGGGAGGTCCCATTTGGCATCTAATGGGGAACCTTTGCCAGGACAAGTGTGACACAAAAAGTGAGATGACAATGGCAAGCCACCGTGGAGTAAGGGAAGGGGATCTCCACAGAGATGTTTACCAGAGAAGACCCTTTGTGGAATGTGAGAAACCAAAACAGCAGACAACAGACAGTATCTTTCCCCAGCACTGAAGGAACTATGCTGACACAGGCTGGAAGCAAGCAAAGCAGGCCAGACGTGATTATTTAGCGAACAAATGCAAATACGCCCTGGGAAGCCAGGAAGCCTGCTCTAATTCCTAATCCTCAACAGGAGCATTTTCATATTAAGGGGTGGCTACTGTGCAGGCCACGAATCTTTCTTTTAATTCTACCGTGCCCTTTCAGGCCTTCAGCAGCACCACACTGGCAAAGAAGATCTCACTTGAGGTACAGAAGAACAGACGTACCTGGTATGTGGAGACAGGGGAGGCGGCAATGAACGGCGTGATAGATGTCTGTGGGATCATGCGGTTGGTTGCGAGACTGTACGGTGAAGAATAAAATCTGTGAACAGAAAACAACAACAAAAAAGATTCATGAATCTGCCTCTGCTAAGCACATCGGGAAAGAAAGCTCCCCACAAGTGCTTTTCCACAAAACTGTCCACAGGGTCATCTGGTGGGTTTTCAATACCTAATTCTCTCCAGAGGGACAAGTCAGCTGAACACAGGGCCAGCTTCATCTTACAAAGTCAACTGTGGACACCACAGTTTTGGTAACTAACAGGCAGAGAGCAGGATCAAGCCTCACAAAAGGTGATAGTGTACAAGAGTCCTCTACAAGCACCGTGCAAGAAGAAGGCACCGAGCTTTGTGAGGATGGCCAGTGATAGCCCACAGCGATCACATCTGTTCAGGAAATAAAAATTTATTCCCAGGGGCTTCTAGATCAGTGGTTCTCCACTTCTGTGCTGCAACCTTTTCGGGAGTCAAAAAACCCTTTCTCGCGGGTTCCATATGAGATATTATATGTGTGTGTGTGTGTGTGTGTGTGTGTGTGTGTGTGTGTGTGTGTATATATATATATATATATATATATATATATATCTGATGTTTATATTATGATTCATGATAGTAGCAAAAATACAGTTATGAAGTAGCAACAAGAATAATTTTATGTCTGGGGGTCAGCACAACATGAGGAACTGTTTTAAAGGGTTGCAGCAGTAGGAAGGTTGAGAACCGCTGTTAGATTTTGTGCTAGTGTCCATGCCTCCAGCAGAGACAATTTTCTCCGTGGAAAGAGAAGAAAGAGGATGGCTTGGGTCTGGATTGAAAGGAGAACTTTCTGGATTTGATCAAGGAAGTAGTGTAGACAATAGGATTATAGGACATACTCCAGGAGACCTTATCTTCCACTAAGAAGAAATTTCTAGATATGAAATCACACCTGTCAACAGGTGAGATGGGCCTTAGCATCCACTCGGTATCAGGTGACCTACTTCTTCAGCAGGATTTTAAACTGTGTCTCTTCCCACATAGCCACAATTACATGAAAGGCTGAAGTAGAACATGGAACAAACAAGACAAGGTCACCCCAAAAAGACAATTGCAATCATGTTTCTATTAGGAGAAATAAGGGATAAAGCTTTGCTAAATGCACAACAAAAGTCTATCATGATGTCCACTTTATAATTAAGAGGACAATATATTAATTAACTCTCAGCTACATTGTACTTCTGCTGGATACAGAAAACCTAAGATTTGAGGTTGCCAGGACTCAAGAAGTGAGTGATTCAAAGCAAGGATTAGTGACTTGCATGCTTTTATTAGAAACTTCTTTAAATTAAACTTATTTCGGTTTTAACCAATGATTTTAAAAGGAAAGATTTCTTTTTAGTTCGTTATGTGTTTATGTGGCTGTGGCTATGTGCACTTGTGACTTCAGTTCCCAGGGAGGTCAGAAGAGGGTGCTGGCCCTCCTGGACCTGGAGTTACAGATGTTTGTGAGTCTTCCAGGGTGGGTGCTGGGATCCAAACTCAGGTCCTCCGTAAGAGCAGTGAGCTTTCTCCACTGCTAAGCTATCCTTCCAGTCCCTACCACGGAATTTTTAAGGACATATACTTTGGATTTTTAAAAAATGTGTAGATGGAGGAAAAACAAATGAACAACTAATCTATTTAGCATCATATTATTACACCTCATCACTGTCTTTTCTAATACCGATGCTTTTAAAGGGACGTTTGGCACACACCTGCTGAGATACCAAACAAAAGACACAAATGTAAGTCCTGACAAGAAAACAGAGAAAGTGAAACCCTCCTGCTGGAGGGAGTGGAAAAGGATACAACTGTCTAGAAAAAAGGCTGAGAAGTTTCTCATCAGCATAAACACAAATACATATGACCTAGGATCCTGTTCTTTCTAAGTGAGATAAATGAAAACTTGTTTATTCAAAACCCGTAGTGCAAACATGGACAGAACGTTTATTCATATTTGCCTCAAGCTGGTAACAACCAGATGCCATTAAAAGTTGTGCAAAGACGGTGGGGCATGCGTGCAATGGAACACTGCTAAGGAACAAAAGTAAATACAACCGTCCTGATCATTCATGAAAGGTCGGCTCCAGATTCTCCTGTAGCCATGGATACTGGAATACAGAAATTTTGTTCTTTCCCATGAGACAGTGTAGTGTTCTCATTCTGCATCTACCCCTGAATTACCACACGTTAACTCTAGATTACTTAGAATATCTCATATGTGTATTTATATCTCATAACTGCTATGAACATGCTGACCATACTTTCTGGAGGATAAAGTCAAGAGCAAGATGTCTATATGTACATGCACATCTTTTCAAGATTTTTATTGTAGCTGGTGGAATCGGGGAATGTGAAATCTATGAACAAGGGGAGACAGCTATAACCAGTCATATTGTCAACACGGTGGGTCTCAAGGGCGTTATGCTAAATGAAAGATGACCTAAGACACTGCAAAGTTTACATATCCTGTTTATATCACAATGCAGAAATGGCAAAGCCACCGAGGCAGGAGCTGAGTCAGAGGCTGGTATAGTCTATAGTTGTGGAAGGAGTGTACAGATCACTGTGGGCGTCTGACACAATCAGAGTTACACCCCCCAAAGAGCAGATATACTGCCATACATACCTATGTATTGTCTATATTCTCCAGATTTAATCCATAGATCATACAGAAAGAAGCATACATTTATATGCTCAGAATTATACCTAATTGTCCTTGCTCTGAAGGATTGGTTTTGGAAATGGGGTCATGTAACCTAAAGCTGGCCATCAACTCATTAAGTAACTGAGGCTGACCTTGAACTCCTGATCCTCTATCCTCAGCCTCCTGGTGCTAGGATTGCAGGTATGTGCCACCACGCCATGCAGGAAACACCGTTTTTGAGCTAGGATCTCACTGTGAAGAAGAGAGACTAGCCTTGCACTTGAGAATTCTCCTGTTTCCAATGACCAAGTGCTGGGATTACGGGTGTCCAGCACACCCAGCTCTGAAGTGTTTCTTACAAAGATGATGCTGCACACAAAATATCCATCTTTGAACTTTTCATTTATATATATGTTTGCGTGTGTTTGCCTGCTTGTCTGTGTGTGTACCATATATGGGCAGGTGTCCACAAAGGCCAGAAGAGGTCATAGAAAGCTGTGGAGCTGAGTTACAGGCAGGTGTGAGCTTACCTGGCTTGGGTGCTGGGAACCAAACCTAGCTCCTCCATAAGAGCAGCATGTGTTCTCAGGCACTGAGCCAGCTCTCCAGCCCTCTAATATCTGCTTTAAAAGGATTACTGAACATTTCCTATGTGTACCGATGTGTTTCAGACAGCACCCTGAAACATCACTCAATACTTCTCTGTTTTGTCCCTCAAGGTGTCTTACCTTTATGCTCATCTGCCTCACAGCCTTCAAGCGTGTCTCATTGCAACGAGGGCAGAATCCAGTCATCAGCCTGACATCAAGTCTGCTGCCAGCCTCTCTGACTTCTTCTCCTACCCACTGCTCTCACACCTGGGATTCTGGAACCGTCTCCACCCCATGATCCTGTTGTTCCCATTCCCACTGAGCAGCACGGTGGGAAATCTGTCTACGCCGACGGCTTCCCAGCTGCTGCAGCCCTGTCCCTTTGCGCTCTCATCTGAGGATTCTTTAGGTACATGTAGCTAGTGTAGCAACTTTCATCTCTGGCTACACACACACACACACACACACACACACACACACACACACACACTGCTCTTCTTTATTACTTTTATTTGCTCTTTAACTGAAGCAGCAGAAAGTTTCTCAAAAATATCTCTGCTATGGGTTGAATGTAACTCACACCTTTCCAGTTCATACATTGAGATCTTGACTTCTGCCACGACTGTATTGGAAGACAGGCCTCTGAAGAAGCAATTAAAGTGAAAGAGCATAGAAAGGGTCGGTCCTTGTTTGGAGAGAATTTGTGATTTCTATTAAAAACATCCCTAAGAGCCCATTCTTGTACCCTTTCCCTTACACACTCACATACACACTCACATACACACATGCACATACTCACACACACACATAGGGGGAAGAGCACCAGGGATATGCAGGATGGTAGCTATCAGGAAGCCAAGTAGAGGTCCTCTCACAGAAACCAAATGATGTCCTTGATTTTGAACTGTGAGCCTTTGGAATTCGTGAGGCTATCAGTTACAGTCTATGGAAGCCCACACCGAGAAGAATGATGCATTCCTTAACTCCCTCTCTCTTTAGGCTGCTAGTTCAGTGTGGACTCAGGGAATAGTGGCCTTGTTGGGTAGGAGGCAGCCTGGCACACTGGAGTAACATAGCAGCTGTTTATTGAGGGCATGGATGGATGTGAAGTTGATGCTGGCATTCTGACCATGGAAAATGGGTCCAGGAAGCTGACAGGAAGCTAGAGATGAGACTCCGGAGGAGGGAAGCTCAATGCCACACCTTGGTAAATGCCCAAGGGAAGTTCAAGTGATGTCTGCTTTCCAAGAATGAAGAGCATTTGTAACTAGACACTGCAGTCCTTTGCTGTGGAAGATCTGGTTAGCTTTTAAGAATCGCTTTTAGGTCTTTGACAAATTTTGTTCATGAGGCAGTGGGCAGAGAGACCTGCCCTAGGCTGGGAAGGGCATAACAGGTATCGAGGGCTACTCAACAAAGTGTCTGTCTCATGCCTCATACAATGATTTGACACCAGCCCACTGTCACTCTTTTAAGTAGAGAAACCATGGGCTGCATTTTAGCACGGATGGTCTATTTTGTAAAATGTTCCAATTGGAGTATTAAAAATGAAAGCAATAAAAATTGGATTGACAGAGTTTGCAAGGAAATTCTGTGGGGAATGCAGAGAGCAGAAGTATAAAGAAACCAACCAGCTAAACGGGCACTCACGGGAGGAACCCATGGGGGAAAATTTAATGTGGTTTTGTTCTATCTGCTCTAATCCCATCCATCAAATAAGAATGACACTTCATCCTTCCCAGCATGTTCTGGAACTGGCACTCAAGTCCGAGTCACTTAGAACAGCAA